TAAGAAAATAGAAGCCCAGGCATCTTCTAGGACTTTGTAAAATTGTAATAAAAATCTCCATATTTATGTGAATGGACAAGGGCAATAAAAATTATGTGTTACTGACACCCACAAATCTACCTGCAAATTCTCAAGACAACGAGATCTAAAACAGAGACAGTGATTAAATCCTGGTAACTCACAGAGGTGGGACAAGATAAAGAGATTAATCACTGTCACTTCCTGACTGATTCCAGTGAGCCACATCAACCAAACACAGTCCTAAGCAGAACCCAAGAATTGTTGGGAGGGGCTTGAAAGCTGATGGCACCTCATCCTCCATGGTATTGTAGCATCCCTGAACAGACTGCCCAGATAAGGGTATTTTCATGCCTGATTGCTTGGCAGACTTGCCCATATCTGGGTACTGGTTGCTATGAGATTGAGTTTCAGACTGAAATCAGTTTTAGCAATAAGAGACTGCAGAGAACACAATAAGTTGTAACTGTACATATGTATACACGTCTGTGATTAGCATACTGTAACAAGCAATTCAGCTTTTATTTGTTCAATTATAACTTTTCCTGATAGGCAGTTCTTAAATAGCCCAGATGAGCTGAAACTGCTCCAGCACAGAATTGAATACCCCATGATGTCTTTCAGTACCACACCACAGGCAACTAAATTTAGATGTCTAAATGTAGCAAAACAATTCAAATGCATAAACACATCTATGTAGAGCTGTTCTAGACCACAGAATACCTGGAACACCTGCTTAGAGCTGCCATATGTGACAGCAGATCTGTGAGAGATCTGCAAAGGTCCATCTTGGGATGGCAGGATACCCTAGGACATCTAAAATGCTGTTAGACACCTAATTGTAAGCACTTGAATTGTTCTGTGAAGAGACCATTCAGCTATGAACAGGCAAACAACTGGTGTCATTTGGCAGTTTGTGAGGGCTTTGAGACACACATTTATGTCCAGACTGCTGTTCCTCAGTGGGACTCCTCCCAGTACCTGCAGAACCTATTTTCAGATACCTGAATCCTACTCTGTTCACCTAGATTCATACTAGGTGTATGTAGACAGAGTCAATGCACTTCTGGGAATCACAATGGGAAATAAAATTTATGTTTGAGACATGTTAAGAGTTAATAGAAAATATATGTAAGTTTAATGTAAAAACTACTCTTCCATGGATTTTGACAATGCCTGTGACACATAGAGATTTTTTTCTGCCCATGCCAAAGGCAATGTAAAATGAAGCATTTTGCTGAACTAGTATTTTCTGTTATAAAACTAATATTTTGCAGCAATGTTTTTCATCAAATATGCTGACATATATCTATTTTTAAAAGAAATATATTATTTCTTAGAAAACACTTAAATTACCATACTGTCCACAGTTTAGGAGGGATCATGGGAAGACATGACTTCAGACCTTTCCAATGCCTACATGCTCCTATTTAAGTCTGATCAGTTGACCTCAGAGTAATATGAAGAGATGAGACTGACTTACTCCCCAGAGCGTGGCCTCATATGGACTGGAACAAAGTGGCAAAAAAACCCCACGTAGTAAGCCATGTTTTTACACTTCACCTCCATAAACTCCTATTTGGATGTAGAAGAGAGATTCTGAAAAGCAGGCTCTGCCAAAATCAGGGCACCAGATGCCACACTGGAAAATTGCCTGGTTGATCTGTGGCATTTGGAGGCAATGAAGGGAAAGGCCATTGCATCAAACGAATAGGGACAGAACTGTACAGAAAATAATATGTGGGCACTTTATTGAATTATGATACACTTACAGACCATGGCAATTGGATTTCTCTAAACCTTCTGTACTTGACTTCGTAACTTTAACATTATATCACTATATTTTTTGAAAAATATTGCTGCGAAATATTAATCTAAACAGATTATGATTGAAAATACTTGTTCAGAAAAAAACCACCTTTTAGTGGATTTGCAGAACAAATACAGTCCACATAATAAGATTTCTCCAAAATGAAAAAGATATTTCAGGAAAAAAAATCCAATATACATTCTAAGAAAGTATTTACATTTGCTTTTTTCATTACTGTTTTACATTGTCTTTTGACATATCAGTAATGGCACATAATCACACAGGCTACAGGCTGAGAGATTATATTATAATAAAATGAAAAAATCATATGACGTCCAAAATATTACAGAAATGAATAATTCTGGTCACATTTGGTAGTCAAAGGGAAATTCTGACATTGGCTCCCTGCTAAGCAGAATAGAGAGGAGCCTTTTAGGAAATCTTTATGGACAAAAGGGGGAGATGTTCAGTAGCCCATATTTTTATTTTCTTGTCTCCCTTCCAGGGGAGAATATAGAATACTTAATATTTGGATATTTCTACTTTCAGTTGGGAGAGATAAGATGTATTATAAGAACATAATTTGTGTTCATATTTGTTCTGTTTTCCAGAAAGATGTTTTTCATAATGGATTTTGTAACAGGACCAATAACATCAGATGAGCCCATTTATTCTGGTGTTGAATGTTTCTCTTAAATTTAGAATTTTTGTATTTTTCACAGCACAGAAAACACACCATAGGACTAGATTTACTTCCTCTGTGTGCAGTGGCAAAACTGAAAGTTGGAGCATTATGTGTCTCCTTCCACAACTTGGGAACCAAATTTGCTGAGTGGTCTTGATTTCTCCAGTTTTACATAGTAAAAAACTCACATTTGGCAACTGAGAAAAAAAAAAGTGTCATACAAGACTTCAAAATTTTAATCAATTACTTCATTAGAATCTTTATATTGTAGAATATTGTGTCACTGTAAAAAAATGTTTAGGACATTGCTGTTAGTACATTTTTAAGTAAAATTCCACATATACTTACAAAAATCTCTCTGGTTTGCATTCTGTTGGAACTCTGGTTTAATGGAAAAGTGGAGGTTAATTAAAAAGAACAAAAACTGCTCAATATTATTTCCACATAAAGAAAATATTATAATAGCAAAGTTTATGGACAACATGGGCATGCAACTGACTTTTTAATAGCTACAGCCACCGAAATATGCAGTTTACAACCTTTTACTTGTTAAAAAGTGTAATTCACCTTTAAAAATTCAATAGTGTAGTATAAACATAATGATCAAAAAGTCCACAACTGTGATAACAACTGTGGAGTGATTGAATTATTTCATACATATAAAACACTTGATCATGCAAATTGTGGCTGAATATAAACAGATCAAGAGAACAACTTCATACCTACTGAAAGCATTCCTGTGGTTCAACACTTTCCTTAGTGTAAGGTGATAGAAAGTCTACACAAAAAGAGAAAAAAACCTCCTGATGGTTTCCTGGAAAACCCCAGCATCTGGGGAAACATTCCCAGAAACTGACAGAAGGATTAAAACAAAGAAAGGAGTGATAGGGAGACAACATGGCCTTTTGTCCGAACATCTTGGCTGCTGGGAACTCTGGAGGTGGACCCTTGGGCCTATTTCGTCTGTCTGTCACCCCAAAATTAGTTTATTGACTATAGCCATTTGAACTGCTTAAGAAAAAGGTATAGAAAGAGATTGGACAGGAGCAAAAACAGGGGAGAAGTTCCATCCACTCTATGGAGGTAACCAATTGGCTGCCTTTTTGTCCCTCCACCTCCTCGGGATACCTTGGGCTGAGTGGTCACTCTGTACACATACACTAACTTTACTTTTGCTCCATAGCACTTTAAAATTTTTACTTATTACCTCATTGTAAGTTGCTTTTGCTCTAGTGTGTGTGTGCCTATGCGTGGCTTTATTATTACTGTTACATAGTTTGTGTTTTTGCAGTTAGACCCTAGTCCAGACACAACAAACCCCATAAATTGTCACAAATTTGTATTAATAAACCTGTTATTTGGTGAACTATTAGAGTGACTCTGTTTTTAGGTGCTGACAGTTTCATCAATGGTGAAATAACTCATAGGAGAAACCTGCTGAGGGATTTTCCAACTTCTATTAAGTGCAGCCCTTATATAAAAAGGTATCAAATGTCCTGTCTGTCTCGGTGAACCTGTTAAACCAAGGGTCTCATTAGGTGAGATGCTAACAGGCTGTTTTCGATATTAAAAGGCTTTGATTTCCTGGGGATGGGGGAGGGGGCAATGATAGACAAAAAATAAATTAATACAGGTTGGACAGTAAATTCCTCTTTTCTGCCCCTTTTAACATGACACTTAGAAAGGGACCACAACTAGTTAGTTACAGCACTTTATTAGGGTGACCCATCCAGTTCCAGAAAAAGAACTAAATATCAGCCCTAGTAGCCTTATTCTCCCATATATACCACATGAGCAAATACAGAAATAGAAGAATATTAATATTGTACAGTAGGTAAAGGGGAATAGAATGTATGTTCTGAAGAATAAGAAAAATATCCGGGCTGATGGGGGAATCAGGACCACTTGGTTTATAAAAGTATATAAAGGTACATAAAAAGAGGGGGGGGGGAAATCCTAATCCTAGTAAAGATTTGTTTAGCAATACTGCAGCATGAAAATGAACACTCTCTCATGTCTCCTCATTGAGTCAAAAATAGTTATTATATGCAAAAGTATACAAAATATCACACTGTGCAGCTACAAGCTCAACATGGTTTGCTTCTCATCAATCTCAAATCACATCCACTGTATCACTTTTTTGGAAGGCATGTTCATTTAAGGTCCTGGAAAAATTATTAAGATTTTTATCTTTCCCTTCACTGAAACTAATTAATATAGGCTCTACTAAATATTTAAATTACTATTGGTGAATGATTTTCATGTTAATATGTGTTTGATTAATTTATTTTACCTAGTCATTTTTACAAGTGAGGTGTGATTATCATGCATGAATCAATCTCTTTTGAATATGTACTTCCAATACACTAAGTGGATGCAGTAAGTCACTGTGAACTGCATGGTTTTGGGGACACTTTTTTCATAATAGCTGTGAAAGATAATGTTTGCAATCAGTTTTCTTACAGTGTATTTTAACATTCAGTTTTCTGTCTCTCCCCACTTTCCACTTTCAGATTCCATTGCTTTTGGTCTGTTAAAGGAAAATTTATTTGGTAACAGTCTTCAGATTGATGGCAGAGCTTGTACAAGATGACACATTTCACAGTAAAGCTATTAATTACCACCCCTGGCTGTTCAGGGGGAAAAACAAACATGAATCTGCCTTAGAGTTCATGTACATTTTGTTTAGTCAGCATCCTTTGGCAGGAAAGAGAAATGCAATGGACTGTTCAGTGAGCTGTTTACACTTTGCGTTATACAGAAAAATAATCAATCTTTGACACAAAGTAAACTATTGGAGTAAAGGTGGAGAATCATATTCTGGGCTGCATGAAAAGAAGAGTAGTTAGCAGGTACAGGGAGGGGATTCTACTCTGCTCTGGTGAAACCCCACCTGCAATGCCTCATCCAGCTCTGGGACCCCCCACATAAGAAGGATGTGGAGCTGTTGGAGCAAGTCCAGAGATGGGATAGAAGAATTATCAGAGGGCTAGAGCAACTCTCGTATGAGGAAAGGCTGAGAGAGCTGGGGGTGTTCAGCCTGGACAAGAGAAGGTTCCAGGGAGACTTTCTAGCAGCCTTCCAGTACCCACAGGATCTACAAGAGAGCTGAGAGGTACTTTTTACAAGGACGGGACAAGGTGGAATGGCTTTAAACTGAAAGAGAGTAGGTTTGAATCTGATATTAGGAAGAAGTTCTTTACCATAAGAATGAGTCAGACACTGGGGCAGGTTTCCCAGGAAAGTTCTGGGTGACCCACCCTTTGAAGTATTCAAGGCCAGGTTGCATGGAGCTCTGAGTAACCTGGTCTAGTGGAAAGTGTCCCTGCCCATGGCAGAGGGATTAGAACTGGATGATCTTTAAGGTCCCTTTCAACCCAGTGCATTCTATGATTCTGTGATTTTATTAAAGTCACTAGAAATCTTGAGTTATTTCTTCGTTTCTAATTAAACAGACAGGTCTCTGATTGCTACAAAATTCCAAATAATAGGCGAGAACACACTGTCTTTACATACAGAATGCCAAAAACTGAAGGGACTAAAAGCTGAGACATGTTTCAGGAAATATGGTTAAAATTTTATATTTAGATTAAATACTTATAAGCATTGAAGTTCACTGAGTTTGGGTATCCAAACAATTGTGTTGCCTGTCAAAAACAAGTTTAATATAAAAGTGAAAGTAGAGCAAAGATCCTTTTCAAGGTTCGCTCCTCTACTTACTAGATGATTAAAGCACGTAGAAAAAAATAGGACTAAATTCTAAAATCAAGAAATCTAAAACTAAAATTTATCTAAAATTTTTTAAGTGGAGGTTGCAGATAGAAGAAGTGTAAGGATGGGAAAGGGTAAAGGAAGAAAAGGAACAAGGGAGACAATCCCACTGAGTCACAAGGTTCAGGGTGGACCCCCTTGCCAAACTTAGCCTGGAACTTGACCAATGGTTTAGGCCTAAAGGTTTAAACAGCACTTAAGTTTAACAGCACTGAATTGATAACTGAAGATAAGAAATTTAACAACAGATTCTATAGAATTTACTACAAGCACAACAGCAACTCGCTTATAGGCCTAAACCACATATGAATCTAATGTACTCAAGAATAGCAGAGAGCAACGTTCACAGTATCTCTGCTGTGGCATATTCACATTCACACACACACAGACCTAAAGAGTCTGTACAAGGCAGATCCCTGTGAAAAATTCCCCTCCAGTTCAGTGAAGTACTCACACTGGATGTCTTTGCATCTTCTCAACGGGCAAAGGGTTGAGCCTTAAGGAGTGGGGGTATCAGCTGGGGCTCCGTCATTGGAGTTCTCCAAGTACAACAACCTTGGGAGTTCCCCAGCCCTCAGAGGGAGGTTGCTGGTCACAGCCCTCTGCGGTCCAGGATAGCTCAAAGGGTCTCATTTAGGACCACAGCTTATAGGGTCACAAAAGAGTTGGCTTTAGTCGTAGTAATTTTCCATCCTGGCTGCAATTTAGGTCAGTAACTTTCTTTGAAAATTCAGTAACAAAAATGTTGTTCCACTTGGGCTGTTATTCAAAAAATAAGTTTCCAAGGCTGTTTAATAAAAAAACCTCAGGAACTCATTATACAGCACTGGTTCCTGGGAGCAGACAGTGCTTCTGATAAGCTCAGGAGGAGCTGAGCCCCACGTGCTGTTCATCAAGGCTGAGGCCTAATGAGCATTTCTAAGATCACAGTATGGCCCAAGGGGGTGGTGGAGGGGTGTTGTACCACCACAGTATGTTTGTGTAAAGTGTGTTGGAATGCTCATGACATTTATCAAGAACTCAGCTATTATCTATGTTTGAATGAAAACGAATTTTATTGACTTGCAAACAAGTGGCCTGGGAACATCCATTCTTCAGATCAAAAGCTGTGCAAGAATTATACCTTACTGTAAAATGTGCCAATTAAAACATAATACACAATTACAGTACATATAATTTTAGCTGCAGTATTTCATTACACAATTTTTGCAAAATAGTTTTAATTATTTGGCTGATTTTTTAATCACTAATCTCAAATCTTTAGAACTAGTCAAGTTGAGAAAACAATTGCAGTGATCAAACAGAAGATCCAGATTTAAAATACTAATGCTACAGTTTTGACATGAATTCTGATAAAAGGATAATTGAGTACCCCAAGTAAAACATTCTGATATTTGAGTTACATGTAGAAAATATCAAATCTACCTTTCTCTCCTCTTCAGCAATCTGCCCTTAGATGTAGCATTAATGAAGATGCCTAATTATATTGACAGATAAGAAAAAGTATGACATTTTCTCTTTCTCAGAGATTAAAGACATGTGTACTCTAAAAAACACAGCAGTATATCAAAACCTGATGATGACGATGATGATTGTGATGATGATGATTCTTCAGCTCAGAGTTCTTGACTTTTTTCACAATTGACATTATGTTTAACACATCAGTCTATCAACAGAATTTCTTCCCAAAGTGAAAATGGTATTTAATAATACTTCTGTATGATTTTTACCACAAAAGGAAAATTATTATTATTATTATTATTATTATTATTATTATTATTATTATTATTATTATTATTATTTCTTCTTAGTAAAACAGCTTCTGAAGAGTGAGGCCACAAGACCTGAATTCTGATGTAACTCTGTGGTTGTTTACTCTGTGCATTAGGCAAATGAAGCTGTCTGGCTGCTGCTGTGTACAGTTTCACTTAACTTAAATTAAAGGAAGAGATTAGAGTATGTTTCCACAATCAGGCTGATTTGTAATTAAGTATAAAACTGTTATATATACAGTATTTATAATACTCTGTGGGAAAAAAAATTAGAAAAGATTCCCTATAACAAGAAAACATCTACAGGATCTGTTTTGGTGTGATAGGAGAGGCTAAAGATGCTTTGGGATTATTCAGCGATTTATACTGTCTGCCACTGAAACAGAAAAAATCAGTAGCATATTTAAAAATATATGTATAATAAAGTGCAAAACATAAAGTATCTTCTACCTTGTCCCACTGAAGTGTCTTTCAAATGACATTTTAATGGGCTCCATTCACATAAAACTTGTTTTCTTCCATATCTATAGTGCTGCATCATCTTCAAATACACATTTCTTATTAACACAAAGCTGCAATCCAGAAATGTGCAAAATATATTGAAAGGCTGAAAACATCACTTCCTCCTTTCTAAATATACAAGCAAGACATTACTTACCATATGATTCAAAACATAAAGCATTACTCCAATTTAATATAAAAACATTTTTAGCCATAAACTAATTCTGTGCTATACATTTTTAGCCATAAACTAATGCTGTGCTATAATATTTACCAACAATAATGCATTAATTACCACAGCCACAAGCCTGTGTTTATGTGAATTCTAACTATCAAGGGCAATCATAGCTCTATATCAGTCCTAGTTAAATGAAACCCCAGTTTTTTACTATAGCAGTTCATTACTATAGCAACCTCTGAAATGCAAAACTATAGGAAAATTTACAGTATCACTGCTGGGAACAGAAATTTCTAAGTATGCTTTTCCATGTAATTTTCCTTTTCAACAGTCTTCATCAGCTTCTGTGACAGAAAAAAAAAACAACCTGAAATGTGAGTAAAACAATATTCTATTACTTTAGGGCTTTTGCTTGTTTTGGTTTGGGGGTCAGAAATTTTTTTTAAATATAATTATTTAACATTCTTCTTATCTCTTTTAAGAATGGTTGTCTGTGGTGTTTTTGCATTCAGAACTGGCAATTGTTTCCCCAAATGAAAATAATACAGAATGTGACTTAAGTTTAGAAAAATATATGAAAACCAGAGAGCAAGTAAAAAGAAAATAGGTGTAGGCTGAAGAGCAGGTATGAACCGCCATCATCAAAAATCAGAGTACCACAAAGATTCTCATCAGTCAAGGACCTGCTCCCAAAAAATACTTGTTTCCTGGAGAAGAATGTTAAAATAGTGTCTACTTGAGGAATTTATAAATAAATCCAAGTATTCTCATGCTTATTCTAAAGAGATTGGTATTATCCTACCGTAGAGCAAGCTCTGTGTCTGTTGACAGGATGCAAATGTTACATGTTCTCTAGCAACTATAATTCATTACCTCTTCTTCATACGAAGCAAGATGTGTGCTACACATTTAAATGAGTTCTGTGTCTGCAACCCAAGCAAGAGAAATATGCAGTTCCTACAAGCCATAAACCTGGCCACTACAGTTGTTGAATGCATTTATTGATTGCACAAAGTATGAAGAAAAGAGTGAAAGGATGGGGGGTAAAAAGCAATTCATTGTCACTAATTCTCAGTTGAGAGGTGATATGATGTGTGCTGAACTTAGTGGAAGTTAAGACAGATCATCTCCAGTTGCTCTTTGACTTCCTTGAAGACACAAATTACTTGCTCGTATATCAGGCAATGGGCACAGGGAACTACAGGGACAGAACTGCTATTCTTAACTCAAAGATGCAAGAAGTGTCACAAGAACTCCCTCCCCACCTTTAACTTTTAATGTAACGAGGAGAAAAATGCAGGAGCAAGAGATATTGTTTGAATTTGAGACACTTCTGTAATTCCAGTACTGCCACTCTATAATCTGGACAAGGCTTGATAACTCAGCACTTCTTTTGTAATAGTCTTTGCTCATATCTTCTCTTAGAGAACAATTTAATAAACAATATCCATTACAAAGGCAGTGAAACACTTATGTTAACTGTAGCTCAAATATGCCTTTCTTACAGAAAGACATTAATATCAGTGACAGCTATAAACCATATGGGGGTTTTTTGATTGGGTTTTTTTCCTCCTTCTTCTCTATTTTTTTTTCTTTTCTGGTGCTATAATGTATAAAAAGGGAAAAAAATACAAAAGAATAAAATACTAACAAAGCAAAGGTACTGAGAATAAAATTAAAGTTTTTTTTTTTCCACACATAGTTTTCTCTTTATTAGCCTGGGGACATGCCACTCTGCATACAAGCAGCCAAAAACTTGTGACAGAGTTCTCTACTTTGTGTTTAGTTACCTAATTTAGCTACATATGGGTACATGTTTTCTTTGTTATTCAATGAGAATCAGGACATAAGAATACTTCTCATTTCTCTCAATACTACACTACACATCATATATATCTAATATATCTAGCATATACAGAGTGTAAACCAAACACAAAGCTCTAAAATAGCAATGTATAAATGCCAGCTAAATGTTGGTTAAATTGAAGTGTTGATCTATATCCATCATGTAACTAGAGTACATAGTTTTTTGATTTCCTTTACAAAAGTAAAAGTTTTGATGAATGATTTACAAATGAAAGCAATCAAGCAGAAGATAAAAAACATCATTAAAGCCTCAGGCAGATGATAACTCAAACAAATCCATATTGTTTGCTGCCCTGCATGATTCGCCTTTCAAAGCACCAGAATCTGTGTGTTCTGCTTTTGAATATTCAAAATAAACTTCCTCAGTTTTTATAGAGAAGAGAATTTATATTCAGGAACACAGGACAGAAGGGCCATCTTGCCAGGGAGCATGGCAGGATGGGGCTCAGCCCAGGTGGGGAGTAACAGAATCACAGAATCATTTAGGTTGGAAAAGATGTCTGAGATCATCAAGTTCAACCACTGACCAAACATCACCTGGTCAACTAGACCAGAGCACTGAGTGCCACATTCAGTCATTTCTTGAGCACTCCCAAGAATGGTGACTCCACCACTTTCCTGGGCAACGCCGTTCCAATGCCTGACAAATCTTTCTGTGAAGAAATTTTTCCTGACATCCAACCCAACCTGATGTCCCCTGGCACAGGTTGAGACCGTGTCCTCTTGTCCTGTCACTCGCTGCCTGGGAGAACAGGTTGAAACCCCACCTGGCTACCATCTTCCAGAGGTTTCTAGAAGGTGATAAGGTCCCCCCTGTGCCTCCTTTTCTCCAGGTTAAACACCTCTCAGCTCCCTCAGCCCCTTCTCATAGGACTTTCTCTCTAGGCCCTTCCCCAGTTCCATTGCCCTTCGCTGAACTTGGTCCAGCACCTCAATGTCTTTCCTAAAGTCAGGGGCCAGGACTGGACACAGTTAGACTTGCAGGGTCTAACAAATAAAAGACACACCTGAGTGGCAGGCCCAGAGCAAGGATTCTTTGTGAAAGAGGCTGGGCAGCAGAATACAGGTCTGTGAACACATTCACTACTTTTGTTCAGATAAAGCCAGAAGAAAGGTGAAGTGTGTAAGGATTTACACCAAAATAAAAGTTGTTCTGAGAATATAACATTTTCAGAAAATCCTTTGGGTGTTAAATTAGATGGTGTTGGAAAGAGACATCTTCTTTTTTTAATAGACTGTGGATAATACTTTCCAGTAAGGACCTTAAAAAAACCCCAGCTATTTAGATTATCAATGGGTAGTTTAAGTAGGTTCAAGTATTTCTTCAAGTGAAAACAGTTGAAAACTAATGGACATCCCCTCTAGTGGAGAAGGAAAAAAAACACAATGGCACCCAATTGAGTTCAATATAGCAACATTTAGGATGGGGAAAAGGGCCAACATTTAACACCATTAAAGCATATGAGGTTCCTGTACATATGATGTGAGAGAAGAAAATATCTTGAGATTATGTTTAAAAACATCTGAAACCCCAAAAGTTTAAAGTTCTGTAAACTTGTTAATATCTAAAAATATCGACTATACATAATGAATGACAGAACAGTACAAAAGGGTTTGCCTGTACCCAGTAGGCATGATCTCCACAGTTTACTTCTGTATGAATAAATAATGAAAACTTCCTAAATTTAGAATAATAAAACCTTTCCACTAGGCCAGCTATCTAAGCCCATGGGCCGGAACTCTTGTGTTTTGCTTTTTTTTTTTCCCATTGGTAATGAAATATTTTATGTAAACCAACAGATTATACAAAAATAGCCTCTAAACTTTCTATTGTCTCTTTCCTTTATTCTCTCTTTTCTAGCTGCAGATAGAGGCACAGGAACAGTTACTTTACTGTTTTTCCCCTCATGTTTTTCACTCAATATAAACTGTACTAGAATGTTATCAGCTAAGATAATGCCCTAGTGAAAGCTCAGGTTTCTGATGAAAGCTCAGATTTCTGAAAAACATAGACCTTTTCCTCTCACTGTAAGAAGCTCCTCTGTTATGAATCATCTCATTAGTCTTCACACATATAATGTGCTAACAATCTAAAGACATCTTTAAAGAGAACAGCAGGAAGGACTGCAGAACACATCATCATCAAAACTGAGGTCTTTAGCAAGACATGACAATAGTCTTTGTCCCATCTCCAAAGTCTGTCAGGGATTCCTCAGAAATTTCCAAGGCCACACACACCCAAAAAAAGCTCTGGCTCTAAATGTGATGCTTTGTGTGCTGCTCTGATTCCTGATTTTCTGACCAGTAATGCCGATAAGGATCACAGATGTGTTGTAACTGGCAATAAGAAACTGCTAAAATGTGCATAAATATTAATAGATGTTATTTGCCTGCAAGACAGTTACTTCCTTTCAGGTTTGTTTTCTGTTAGCTCAGTGATTTTAGGAGTTTCAGCAGACTCTAAACAGCCCTTCTCATACCTAGGTTGTTTTAGTGGTTGCTTGCCTGCTGTACCTATCAAAACTTTCATTCCTCTTTGTACTATCCCATCCCTTCTTCTTGTCATCTGCCTTCCTGCTGTGCAATCTGGAAGTTATTTTTCCCCTGACAAGTTCAGTTCCACCTAGGTGAGAACAACTCTTCCATTCATAGGATTCTCCATGATCGAATCAGCATTATTTTTTAAGAGGAATATAATAAACCAACAAATTCCATAGTGCATGACATAATGTATCAATGGATGCTTCTTTTACAACAGCCCAATAGTTGGAAAAAGGTAGCCTGGTTAGTAACATCCTGGGGAGCTTCAGGCAAAATGCTCATTTCATGCAGAATCCCAGAATGGGTGATGTTGGAAGGGACTAAAGTGGGTCATCTGGTCCAACCTCCCTGCTCAAGCCAGAGCACGTGGCACAGGACTGTGTCCAGATGGCTCTGGAATATCTCCAGAGAGGGAGACTCCACAAGCTTTCCACATAATACACATGGTAATTTCAACTGAATGAAGTAACAGAAAATTCCAACAAAAATTTCCTTAGAACTTTTATTCCCAGAGAGAAAGCTGTTCTAAGAAATGTGTATGTAGTCACTCCTTATATACTATACTCTGTGTTCCCACTCTTTACCTCTCCCTGGATATCAAATTCACTTTTTATCAAAATGTTACATTTCCTAGCACTGCTTTTGTTCATCACAGAAGAAAATATTTGTTTGGATTAAGAGGCAGAGGTGGGTGTATAATAAAACCTGTACAGATTGACATACGTGTAACCAGCCTGCCAATAAAACAGAATTTGCAAATTTCACACTTGTTTTTCTACTAAAATTCTACAAAGTAATCACTAGCAATACCTGAAATAATAAGTTTTAACAACAATGACAAAATGGAAAATGGAAGCTTTCAGCAGCTGGAGCATTTTAAGGAAATTTTGAAGAAAAGATTAAAGTCTGCTTGATTTCTTTCAATTCAATAAAACTTTTTCCAAAAGCCTCTCACTGATGTTTTATAATCTTTAGTTAGCACTGCCTAGAGACTTATTGACTGAGAAAATGTGCAAAACAAACAAGTGAATAAATAAATTTAAAAATTTAAAACAAGTATAAAATACTGCACAGGTTACTTTATATTGTTCAAAATTAGCACAGTTAGTAAGCAGATTACTGCTCATATATTCAGGCCATTTCCAACTTACTAAGTGCAAAGACCTATGACAATAGAAACAGGTTGCAACAATAGAGAACTCCAATATAAATGTTAAACTCATTAACAAAGGTTCTTAATATCTGCTTAGGTATTTGCTTAGTATTTGCTTTCCTTAATTTTTGCTTGGTTGCAGTATCAAGTCTCATTATCTTGGTTAGAAGAGAAATCCTATTTCCCCAAAACCAAATGTGGGATTTTCCAAGGATTCTGATCTAACATTAAAAGAACTTGCAGTATGTTTATATGAAGTGAGAAAAGTCAGATTTTACTGTTAACAATTCGATAGTTATGTTGGTTTAGTTAGTCATAGGATTGGTCAACAAAAAGTGAGTAATGCACAACAGAACTGTACTTTTTCATGTTTCCTTTCTATTACTCAGTGAAACCTTTGTTGGATTACTTACCTGCATAATTGATGTTAGCCACAGGGTATGTATCAAAAAGGATTTTCAGATTTATTCATCCATAAATATCTGGCTATTCATAATTTTACAGATAATTCCATGTATTGGAAATCACCTGTGATGAACACAATATATGGAAATGAAAGGTCAGCACCTGTGCACAGATATATAGACACGTGTGCATAAATGGAGTATTCTCTGAATATTAGACAGAACACTTTTATGATCTCATATTTTTAAATAAGAAATTATATTACTCATGCTGAGAAGAAGAGAACACATTTTCAAGACCCCAAGGCCTCCATTAAAGAAAACCATATCTGTATAATCATCTTTGGTGCAATGAAACATTTTTTAAACTTTTCTGAAAAACTGAGATATAACAACGCTGAATTACTTATAAATTGCAAGGCTGTAATTTTGTGTGCTCATAACTTTTATTCTTCTCTGACTCTGACAGACTAATCTCCTGATAGTATTTTAATAGATAGATCAGATCCAAGTCAGATCCTAGCTAAAAGTCAAAATCTACACTGTAATTCAGACACGTTATAGTTTAAAACCCTGGAGCCTTTAATTAGCTATTTATTTTTCCTGGCTATCTCTGTTCCACCTTTGTTTACATTTCCATTATTTTAGAAAAAAAAGAGTTGGTGCAAGTACACTTCCCATATCATACCAATTGTACAAGACAACATTTCAAAGATCAAATACAATACATACAGTATCCTAGAAGCAGAAGTGAAGAAACCACAGATGTGAAAATGAAGTTTGAGAGGTCTCCTACATTTGTTTTATCCATTTTCTCCCCATTTGATTTACAGTGTTTAGTTGCTGAACTCTTAAATCCAAGGTGTGATACTTACACAATGTAAAATATTAAGTCTGTAACTCATACAAGTGAAAGACAGGTACAGTTAGGACGTACGGTAGCTCCTACAGATATAATAAAACATCTCTTACCCAATGCTTTTTTCATGTTTTCCAAGAAAAATGTACTGTTGGCTTAGCAAATATAGGCAGGAGCTATTATGGTGATTTGGCTGCTTTTATCTTCTATGGTGTATTGCCCCCTACTTTGGATAATTTGGTCATTTACTCCATTTCCTACCTGCAGAGCACCTATCCACTGCTGATGTCCTGGGCCTTTGCAGCTTAAATACTACAGGGGTTTTTAAGTGTTTCAGTCTTCTTTATTATGGTTTTAAGTTATTATATGTTAAGACAAATGATTTTGTTTTATTTAAGAAGTTATTTATTTATTTATTTATAGTGGTTTCATTGGATCCTTACATAGTTAATTTTATGCCTACATTTTACTTTTAAACTATCACTACCTAATAGGGAATTGACTTTAACACCAGCTCTACTCTCTCCCATTTCCCCATAAAATGCGTTTCTGTGGTCACAATCATGTATAAGTGACTTGGGAGAAAGAGGACAGTAGACATGCAACAATTTGGACTCACTGAAAACACACAATGTTAAAGCTTAACACAAGTTTTGAACAGGTCAAGAGAGGTGATCCTGCACCTCTACTCAGTCCTTGTGAGGCCGCATCTGGAGTGCTGTGTCCAGCTGGGCTCCTTAGTACAGTAAAGACAAGGTACTACTGCAGAAGGTCCAGCTGAGAACCACAGAGATGATTAATGGGACTGGAGCATCTCTCTTACGAGGAAAGGCTGAGGGAGCTGGGCCTGTTCAGTGTCAAGAAGAGGCAACTCAGACAGAACCTTGTCAATGCCCACAGATATCTCAAGGTGGGTGTCAAGAGGATGGGGCCAGACTCATTAGTGGTGCCCAGCAATAGGACAAGAGGCACAAACTGATGCACAGGAAGTTCCACCTGAACCTGAGGAAGAAGTTGTTTACAATGAGGGTGATAGTACTGGAATAGATTACCCAGAGAGGCTGTGGAGTCTCATTCTCTGGAGATATTCTAAACTTGTCTGGATGTGATTCTGTGCAATCTGCCATAGGCGAGCCTGCTTTAGCAGGAGGACTGGATGAGATGGTCTCCAGAGATTCCTTCCAACTCCAACAATTCTGAGATTCTGTGAATGAATTATTGTATTTCCTAAATGATAAATTCAACAAATCCAGTCTGCTAAAGGATACACAGCTACAGAAGTGGTTATGTTTTAAAACCTAATTGTTTGCATTTATCCTTGGACTTATTATCCTTGTGTTCTGTATTAAGCTTGAGAAATCAGCAGTATTTGTGAGATATACTCAACTTCTTGGGGAAAAAAATTTTTGAGAAAAACATCTCCTAAATAAGCTTCTTAGAGACTGCTTGTTCCCTTGAAGATATTTGGAGAAATTTTGATACCTGATAGACATTTAGAAGAATAATATTTACCCAACTTTACTCCATCGAGTACCTTCTTTATATACCTATTTAGATTTACTTTGAGTACTCTACAAACCTTGCCATATTCTTGTCATGATGCAAATGATGATTCTGTACTATAACTTCACCACTGATTTTTTCTTGCATGAATTTTAATCCTCTAAGAAAATGAATCATAGTGTTATAACACACCTGCTTTCTTGCCCCTTTGCACTTTGCTTCCCTTTGAATATCACAGTGAACACACCCTGGAAAAAAAAAAGAAGTATTAATTTTAGAAGCAAAAATTTTCAGCAGCACTCAAGAAATTATAGTTTCTGTAATATTATAGACTTGTCAGGAAAGATTATGCTTCTTCGCTTTTCAATCTCACCCCATTCTGAGGGTTCATACAACAGCTAGTACAGGAGCACTTGAATACAACAAATCTAATTAAATACACTAACTTCTCCATTTCCTTAAGTAACAGTTCTCTTAGGTGTTTAGAGAGGTCAAGGCAACCTTTCTGTGCTTCTAGTCTCTTGAGTGATCCTGTTTTCTTCCTTCTTGCTGAGTTATTTGCAAATAACACTTTTCTCTTCAACTCATTTCCCCAGGCCTCTAATTTTCATTCATTTCAGTAGTATTGGTCCAGGAGTAAGATGGAAAAAAAGGAGAGTGAAAGACACCAAATTTTTGTAGGGATGAAGATATTCTAGTTAGGATTCTAAATATAATCTCTATCATTTTAAGTAGTGGGAAGTGATAATAGAAACAATGACCCTTTAGAGTAAGGGTCTGTCAATGTTTTGTGGCAGGGAGTAGATGATATAGAAACTGGGATGACAAATAGGAAAAACTAGTTTCAAGTATAAGAGAAAACATATCATTTATTTGGTATGAGAAAGAAAAACATGTCTGCCTAGCAGACAAAGTAAATGAGGTGGTGTATGAACATGTGGGCTGTAAACGAGCATACACCAATTCTGAGGTCATAGCAGGTACTGTAGTAAAACTGACTTATATATGCTGCAAATATATATTTGAAATATCAGATCCAATGTGGCTGTGGCAGCAAGAAGTGCAGCACAGGCTGCAAAACCCAGCCAAGCTGCAGGGTACATGAATCTGTGCTCTCAAGGCCAAAATCCCACTAGCATGTGAGCTAGATATTACATCTATAGGCAGCTGCCTTTGTCCCTGCCCTACAGACATAATCTGAGATTTATTTTAAAAAAATGAGAGTGATGGTGAGTAAGGAGGCTGTCAAGGTTGTGGGAGTCAAGTTTAGAGACAGAACAATCAGTGTGGCAGAGTAGAGGTTGCTGTTTTTCTAAACTGCACATAGAAGATACAACCCTACAATCTGACAAAAACATTATACCTTGAATAGACTCTGCGCATAATGAGAATTATTTAATTTATACTAATCACTTTGAAACTTTTTTTTTTTAATTCTCCGCTGTCCTATTTAATTGTGTTTTGGGAGTGGGTATAGAGTAGTCACTTCACGATAATTAGTGCAGGTTTTTAGTTTTCTACCTTTTTATTCCATGATTGGATTGTTTACTCAAATTCCCAGTGACAACTATGTAAGAGCTGGAATCTCACAGAGACAAATGAGACTGTTTACTCTTCATAACACCACTCTTCAATCTTCCTACAGACTTGGGGCTCTGCAGACAGTTTTTTGCCTACAATCGTTTAATTAAATATTTTAATATTTCATTAAAAGTCAGAAGATGATTCAGGAGAATATAAAGACATTAAGACAGTTAACTCAAAGCACTTTACTTGTAAGTGTATATTCTGGATGTAAAATATCTGATTCTGAGTCCTGAAAAGTCCTGAAAAACACCCATTTTGACAGAGATAATTTGACACCCACAAATTTGACAGAGATAAAACTGTACCCACCCAGACACAATAATAAAGTGAAATAAACAAAAGTAGCAAAAACAAAAGGTAAGAAATTTAACAAAACTCATGGAATTGGAAGGACTTGTTCTTTTGTGCTATCTATGGAAGACAAAAAAAAACCCAAATGGATTGTAATTAGCAGTAATTATCTTAGTTATCCAACCTGGAACATTTGTCTCAGCAGGAGTTTCTGCTGGTATTGAGGTGTTAAGCTATTTCTTTCTTCTGGTTTTTTTTCCAATTCATTAGCCATTATTCCTAAGGAACTTTTAAGTAGTCATCAGTCTGTATTGTTACCTGTTGGTTCAACCTCTTCAAATTGTTGTTCTTCAGAGAATTATACTGTAAAACAAACCGAAAGAGACCTACTAAGACCATTGAATTAGTACATTTTTGGGGTATTTTTTCCAAAGATTTAACTGTCATTGATGAAAGTATGCCTACATTTATATAAAATTACAGCAATCTGTTACCATAGTCTACCTGAACTGTTTATGTGATTTTTTTTTTTAATATTTGAATTTGTTTTTTCTTTACATTTTGAGACATGTCCAAGGACGAGGTTGTAGAGAGGCCATCTCTAGGTTATTTCCCCTGTGTCTCTGCTTTCTCTGTAGCCAACAAAATTTCATGTTTTCATGAGGTATTCTGTTTTCTAGAGATGCTAACTCTATTCCTTTAAGTGAATATTAGAATATTTGTCAATAAATTCTTGCACTTGGGGCATATTCGAAAAAGGACCTGTTCCCTCCACACACTGGGCTCCCACACCTGCCACTTCAGGAATGCTTCCAACACTTTAAGGAGTTAATGAAGCTGGAGCACTCCAGGACTGGATGATACCCCTCTCACAGCCTGCTAGGGCTGAGCTTTCATTTCTGAAAGACAGGTACAGACACTACCAGGCACTCACAGATGTACAGAGGCAGGAGAACTGTGCTTTTGCAGGAACTGCACACACACCAACAGCACTCGAGTAAACAGGAACAATACAAATGGCCTGATCCTGTTCTTCCTCACAGGATAATCAGGCTCAGTGAGATGTCATGGTGACATCCCATCTCCACGGCAAACACTGGCATCTTTTACACAGACACTACACACACATTGGGGCCCCAGAAAACAAACAACTGCATCCAGTACACATGGAAGCAGAAATACTTGTTCTTAATACATCCCTTCCCCAAATAAACAGGAAACAAAATTCTGTACCAACTAGCCACTCAGCACACTTCTGGGACAGGTATCACACAAACATGCCAAGGGCACAGTGCCACCTGGACTGACACATCCTGAATTTAAGGGGCAAGGACCCTCTCAGACCAAGGAATGTAGTGAGCTAAAGTCTGTGGTCTAGTTTGGACCAATGAACCCGGTACACAGAGAGACAAAACTCACATCCTCAGTACACCAAAAAGGTGATTCTGTCCAAGCAATGACACCTGGCACTTGGTATCACTGACAAAAGCATAGGGCTGCTACATGCAGGCATCCTTATCCTTATTCTCCACTGTATGTCACAACCATAATGTAAGAGATTTAAAAACCACAATTGCCTATCTCAAACATTGTCAAAGCCACAGAAGGAACTTGCCATAAGATGTCACCACAGCAGGAACTTGAGATAAGCATAGAAGAGAGGAATTTGCAATAGGAAGGCACTAATTCCAAGCCTGATGGAGGTAAGGCTGGTTAGCACATCCTGTTTACTGCATCTGGACAAAAATTCCCATTGTGGCAGACTGTGTGAAAGGAATCAACTGCTTACACTCATACCATCCCAAGTTATGGGAATAGCATCTATCCCTTGTGAATACCTGGAAAGTGGACTATATTAAGGTGATACCCCAGAAGAACAACTCAGGGACCACCACCACTGACAAGACCAGGGTGGAGAAGGACCAGTGGGACGCCACTGGATCCACAGGTGGTGACTGTCTTCTGCTTAATCTGTCTCTCTCTCACTCTCTTTCTCTCCACCTCGCCTCTCTTTTCTATGTCTTTCTATCTCTCTGCCTCACATTTTACTGTTAAATAACATCTGTACTATTGACTTTGGCACATGGTCTCATTTGCACCATAATTCAGGCAGAGGCATCTCTAAACAATCAGATCATAACACATAAGACAGACCCTCACACCTTGGAAATATAATTTTTAGATTTGTTTTTCTAAATGAGACGGACATAGCAGGGAGTTCGCAATTCCTATTCTGTGCCCCATCACCACTTCTCCCCCTCCCTGAAAGCTCCCACATCCCATTGATGGAGGGGAACAGGGCATACCCTTGTACTGGGCAAGGTGTCCAGTCCCGTCTGTCAGCCTGGCATTTGCACATTGTGGTTCTACCATAAGCTCAGCTTTCTACATGGAGTTAGCTGTCCATGGATGTATTCCCCTGTAAGGGCCTATTGTTTTCATTTTTTATTGCTTCCCAATTTAGATGATTTATGAAAGCTGTCAATGGCCTCCCTGGTCACATCAGATCAGGCAAACCTCTTTTTCACTGCATATAAGAGACTAGATCCTTGTCTGATCCCATCGCTGACCCTACTTGGAGTAGGATATTTGACTAGTCTTCCAAAGGTCTCTTCCTGGCTGAATTACTCTGGTTTTCTACCTACTCCCCTTCCCCTCCCCCCCCCCATCAAAGGTCGTATTTTTACTTTTAAAAAACTAATTACACAAAAAAACTTCTATACTAAAGGCTTTTCTTTGCAATGATATTAATTCAAGAATAAAAATAACTTAGAACTTTTTTTTAAGTCAGTAGGATGGCATGTTCTTATAAAAAAATATTAATTTTTCCTGTTTACATGCAAACCAGGGATTTTGGTACTAACATCAATTTTAAACTTATGTAAAATAGCAATCCAAAATAAAACAATGCTGCCACAGTACAACATTTTCATTGGTAAGTGCAGTAAGAACGTTTGCATAATGTATAAATCACACAAATAGTTCTCATAATTAATTTATCTCAGTATGATATGGGCAGAACTGATGAAATGCAAACAGACACACTCTGAGAAAGCACACAAAAAAGTGAAGTTTCCTGTGCAAGGAGTGGATTTCAGCACTTTTGTCAGCATATAGCTGCAGCTGAAATTGAGAGTTCTAAATAATGCATCCGTTTTGCCACTACAGACAACTGTGCCCTAGTTGCAGTGAAGGACAACATCCACTTGCAGGGGAGAGAAGATGCTGAACAGGGATGGTTTACAGGCTCAGAAACCAGTTTCAGCAGAGGCTGCTGTCATATGTCACCCAGGTTCATTTGCTACAGTGTTGTCTTGGACCAGCCTCTCTCAAGACTGCTGGATCTTCACTAAGTTGGAGAAGGAATCTGCAACTGCCAGATTCCAGCTGCTTTCAGAGGAGGAAAGCAGGATTCTACATTAGAAAACTCATTTATTTCAATTCACTCCTGACTCTTTTTGCTGATTCTTAACCTCATACTCTCTTCTATGCTGCAAACATATACAGAAGACACTCTTGTAAGAGGCCATGCCTGAAAGACAGTGAAATAATTCTGTTATGTCCTTATAACACTACATGAAGCATTATGTCTTCTCTGTCTTCTCCTCTGAGAACTAACTCACCATCTGCAAGTCTGATACCTCCCACCTCCTCACATAGTCCCCACTGAGACTGGAAGAGTTCACAAAAAGGAACAGTTCTCCTCAGAATGGGAGGGAGGGAGAGAGGGAGTGAGGAAGGCAGGAAGGAAGGAAGGTGAAAAAGAAATTAAGCTTCTTTTTGTTGTTCACAAGGCTTGATGGAGTTTGGTTTTGGCTCTGGTTTTATTTTTTTTTCTGTTTTTTTTTACCATGGGTTTGTTCCAGACTGTTCCTAAATCTTACATCATTTTACCTTCTAAGGCAATCTAGCAAATGCTTATTCTCCTATTTTATTCTATGACTGAATTAGTAGTGATAATATATAAATTCCTTCTTATTTGCTGCTCTTGATATCCAAAGGTCTTCAAAGACTATTCACTTTTTATGTTCTCAATCTCAATTAAATCTCTATGGAAAACTGCAGCTTTTTAAACCTCTCTCAAATTTTACCTATTGTTAGATACTAACTTTAATTCTATAACTGCTTCATTTCATTTGGAAACCATTCTGAGTAAGCTGCTATGAAAGATGAAAATCAAGGCAGTATTATATTAGAAATAATGAACAATAGTAAAGAATTAAGGAGAGTTTTCTCAAAAATGTAGGGCCACGAGCATTGCTCTTTTAGGGTAGAGTTTTCTCCTCTCTTAATGCTTACAGTTGCATTTCAAAACTTTACAGATTTAGACAAGTCTGGACAGAGGAGAGATACTGAAAAAATAGCAATATATGCATATTAAACAACTCTTAGTAGAAACTGTGATGCATTGTTCCACTTGTGGATAAACCATGTTTCTTTACTTATTTATTTTCAGAAGAATGCTTTTCATACAATTTAACAACCTTCTTTTCAATTTCTTCTTGCAATCTTTTTTCCATAGTTTCTACAAACACAAAGAAGGCACTTTTTGGACAATGTCCATGAGCAGATTCATCTTTCATCACCAGCTGAAATATCAGAAAAGTAATACATTTTGAAATATTTTATTACTTTTTCCCTAGATTGTTGCACTCATCCATGAGCTCTTTACTTGAGAAGGAATGTCCTAATGTATCCAAAATAACCCACTTTTAAATATCAGACGTGTTGATAACATCAGTTTGATGAAAAGTATTTAAATACAAATTAGACAATTCTTTTCTGCATTAGAGAAGCCAGACACTTTCTCAGTCATCATTTTTTACATTATGCTACTGTCTGACATCATACTACTAGCTGGAGAGAGAAAAGGGATTTGTTCAAATTTAGCTTAATGTGATTGCTTTTATGATTTTATTTTTTAAGTTTAAGAGACTCACATGCAACAGATCTGCTAAAATGCTAACCTAAAATTTCAATGTCATTTTCATTTTAAAATCTTGTAGCAGTGTAGACACTTCCTCATCCTCAAGGAGAGGAACTCTGTAAAGGCTTTTAAAGCTGTCAAAGTTGTGTGCACAGGAAGTCACTGCAGGATAGAAATACTCTGCTCTCTTCAGAAAGACAGCTGCAGCCACTACCCTGTACAGACTCAATGCTTCCTGTAAAGAAAATGAAATTCCCATTAAGAACTGTCTTTCCTGCTAGATCAATGATGTTTCTCTGCAAAGATTTATATTCTGGGTTTATATAAGACAGAAAGGATATCACTCTTCAGAAAAAAAAAAAAAAAAAAACAAAAAAAAACCCAAAAAAACCCAAAGAAATAGAAAAGAAATATTAGTTAAATCACTCCTCCTTATATTATTCATTATTTCTGTCACTAACAGCAATCTCGTTCCCATGACTTCAAAACTGGTAATAGTAACAATTACTTGAATTAAAGTGCATGTCACAGCACAAGAGGCTCCCAAATACATAGCTGCAATATTTCTGCTAGACAACATGAAAAATAGGTGATCAACCATTTTGTTTGCCATCTTTTTTGGAAGAAGAAAAATTGAAGTTTGCAATGATGTTCTACACTTTCGTAAGTAATTATGTGCTTTTAAATTCTACAGTACTGCAGTGATCATTGCTGGAATGTCTAAGCTGACAGTTTAATTTCTTTTCAAAGTTTTAAAAAATTCCATTATCTTGTTGCCATGCTTCTGCACTTATAACTGCAAATTTAAATGCAAGAAAAGCAATCCAGCTTCTCTAGTAATGACTGAATATCATTACACGAAATTTCAGTAGAATTAAAAAATCATTTTTTAAGCATTTCTTAACATCCCAGTTAAGAGAAGGGAAAAGCACAAAAAAAAAGCACAAAGCAGATTTCTTAGTTTTTTGTGTAAAAGCAGCATTGACCATAAGTCAAGTACTTGCCACTGAACAAGTAGTAGTTCAAGTTCCCTCCTAAATGGCATCTAAAGGGATGTTGCCCTCAGGCTTGTACATTTATTCAAATAATCACAGGTTGCAGCTGCAGCACTCTTACAGAAGTGCCAGCAGCTCTTAATGCAGCAATCTCGGCCTCCTAAGTCTTTCCTTCAAAATTAGGGAACTGCATCCAAGCTTCAGTGAATGAGTCACATCACCATCATTTCTTCACTCGTGGGTAAAGCCTTGGCTGAGTACAGCCCTGACTCACTGAATGAAACCACCGAAAAGGTTTGGAAACAAACACCAGGGTCCTTGGTGCTGAAGTGGGAAGTGAGTGTGAGGGGGTGTTTGTGTAATACCCAACTTGGAGTCTCAGGCTGAGTCAATGGTAAGGTTTTTCAGAGGTTCTCAGGGATTCACAGCTCTTCCAGAAAGAAATAGTTACTTTTCAAAGTTATAACTGTACGTGTTTTTCCCCAAAAATACACAATGACTTACTGGCACAGGAATAAACTGCAGTTTTTGATTTACTACCATTTCCTTATTCCACTGTGGTTAGCTATTCCTTCATGAAAACATGAGACAAGTCCATAACTTTGGTAGCAAGTTGTATTTAATTTTGTTGGTCTTCTCTACCTTCACTTATATATTAGCATCATTAGCCTAATTTTTAATATATTTTCAGACAATCCAGTATTTTCTGTCTTTTCTGGCATTCCATACCTCCTGAATGTGGTATTACCCAGAGAACAGTGTGTCAAAGAAATAACAAAATGTAATATTCTTTTCACAAGAGATCAGCTCTGTGACAGGGATTCTCGGTAGCAAGAAGGTACCAGATAAGTCATGTATCTGTCAAGGAATAAAGGTTCTCCCAGAGCACATAGATGACTAAGAACGTTACTGAAGACCTGACTTGCAAAATATATTAATTTTGTTCAGTTCCCTCCACAGATCCCACAGACTTCTTCTCAGCTAGCTGGAAGAGAAGTTGGATCCTTCTGCCACAGATTTTACAAAAAAAGAGAAGTACCTGGACTTGCTATTACACAGAAACTATCACACAGTACTAGTGCATAGTCCACTTTTACTCTTAGATTACATAGTGCATCTAACTCTCATATAAACTAAACAGATTATTAATTTTTTTGTGGGGCATTAACATCAGACCAGTACTAGCAAAGGAAAAGTTTTAGTGACAGATGCTGTTGCCTTGAGCAACACAGGCAAAAAAATGCACACATTTTGCTAAACACAGAGCAAGCAAGCAGACAGTTCTTTTAAATGGATAGAATATTCAAATTACAAAAATTTTAATTTAAATCAAAATGTCAGAAAATAAATGAACTTAATTGACTTTGAATCTAAGTCATTCTGCTTTTAGATTAACTTGGAGTTTACATCTGAAATATTATTTTTGTTATGCTACTATTTATGGTTTTATAATTGCATCTTTCTGGTGTTGTTTTGCTTCTCAGGAAGTCTGCCTACTCTTGCACATAAGGGAGAAGGCAAATTGACCTTGTAAAGTGAAAAAGGAATAGTGATGACTCATATCTTCTAAATGTACAAGAAAAAAGTAGAATTTCTTTTCTAGGCTTACAGTCTTTCCAGTTACCATTAAAGGTAGAATTTATAATGAATAAGAAGATGTATATTGTGTGGTTTTATTTGTCTTGCAATATTTATTAAATACTTAAAGTGAGATTTGAATCAGAATAATGAGCGGAACATTCAGTGTGTTGCAGTTTTGTTTTTTCATGTCTTTATTACAAATATATAATATGAAATTGATGCATGTAAGTAAACTCAGAGTTTGGATAATAAAATTAACCTATAAAGAAGTTACCCTCTTTTATGATGAGTTTTGTTTTGCTTGGTGGTTTTTGTTTTAAGTAGTAGGTTTTGGTTTGGTGTGGTTTTGCATTCTTATTACATCCTGCTACAGTTTTTATACTCTTTACATTCAAAATCTGGAAAATATATTTTATTTTTTCAGAGTTAAGAAGACAAGGATATTCTCTTCAACTGTTAAACTTCAACTTGAAGGAAAACATTTTTTTCTATTACAGAGATAGAAATGAAATAACTGCCTATGAAATTATATGCACTTAGTTATCTAAATTGCCTAGTCTGAACACAGTTAAAAAGTTATGGATGATATTTTCTGCATTTAGAATATAATTTTCGATAGGTCACCTTGCATAATTCTATTCCCTCCTGCTTCAACACTCTCTTCTCCCTTTCAGCTCTTTGAAGTAGAATCTTTACTGATTTTGAATCAATTACCAAACTACCGGAAGGCTCAGTGGAGGATCTGAGATGTAAACACTACGATCTGAAATTCTGAATCATGTTCCTCACATCACAGCCTGGTTTCCCATATCCTTTCTCATGCTGAATAACACTACATCTCGTGTGATCCTAATGATGTTAACACAACCATATTCAAAAAAAGCTCCTAAACATACAGGAACAAAGTCAGTATCTTGAGGTTTAAAAGTAGCTCTCCTTATTTTTCTGTTATTCTATATTTCTATATTAAGGGACTGGAGCATCTCTCCTACAAGGAAAGGCTGAGAGAGTTGGTCCTGTCAGACTCAAGAAAAGATGACTGAGAAGGGACCTCACCAAGGTCTGTCAGTGTCTGCAGGGAGGTGTCAGGGCATGGCCCAGGCTCTGCTCGGTGGTGCCGAGCAATGGGACAAGAGGTAATGGGCAGAAACTGATGCCAGGAAGTTCCACCTGAACATGAGGAAGAACTTCTTTCCTGTGCAGTGACTGAGCACGGGAACAGATCACCCAGAGAGGCTGTGGAGTTTCCCTCGCTGGAGATATTCCAGAACTGTCTGGACACAATCCTGTGCCATGTGCTCTGGAATGACCCTGCCTGAGCAGGGAGGTTGGACCAGATGACCCCCTGGGGTCCCTTCCAACCTGACCCACTCTGTGATTCTGTGATATGAGAATATAAGTGGTTTTTCTGTCATACTAAACAGATGAAACACAGAAAAAAAAGACAAAGAATATTTGGAATATATGAAATATAGCATTGCACAGAAATATTTGATAGCTGCACTCATTCTCGGGGATTGAGAAACTTGTTCAAAAGCAAATTTCTTCCTGAAACAGTTAATTTTTTTTCTACCTTGACTAGTTATAGAGAGTAAAGTCATCAAAAACCTTTCTTCTGATGAATAAAGAGAGAAGTGGATTCGGGGAGAGACGGACAAACAACTCTGACAGGTCGAGGAGCCCCTCTATTGCTCATTGATGGGTGGCCAACACCACCTGCATTCTTCAGCAACGGACTGGGTAGAAATAGTTTATCTAAACAGCGATACCTGATTTCTGAGAAAAGCACCTGTAGGTAACACCTGAAGAGCTAGCTCTGTCATATGAGGTGTTGAGAGATATCATTTCTGTTAAAAGTTTATCCCAATTTCCAGGTTACACCACTTCTGTTAGTTTTTTCTAGTTTGGACTGAAATGACTTTAAAAGAAAACAAAACAAGTGCAGACAATACAAATTGTGTACATGGCAGTAAATGTGAAACCAAACTGTGTCATATTTGTCCACTTTTCAAAAGTAGAAGTAATTACATTGTAATCCTGTTTAACGACTTCCATTTGACATCATCTCAAACACAAGGGAAAAAGGCAGCATTTGATACAAATACTTATGGGAAACACTTCACTGAATTGAATTCAGTGCAGTGAATCACAACTTCTGGAACTTGGTGATTTTGACCTTAAATATTAACCTTTAGATTAATGAGATTTACATGCAAGGAGCAAAACAAGACAAGACATATCAGTAAGGTGACTTAAAGTAAAAGCAGCATGGACCTATTTAGAAATAATTTCTCCACAATTTTCTATCTGCCATGTTATCAGCAATTAAAGACCTGAATCTATTATCTTCCCCCTATACAAGAATGGTGGGCAGAAAATATCAGGCCTGTTTCATCAATGTCAAGTTTTCTGAAGTCAAGGACTCTTTTATGTGTTTACTTAATCTTCATTTAATTCTTTTCTGAAACAGGATAATAGGTACCTGTCAGTTGTTTTTCCATGCACCACTAGTCTTGAATAAAGTTATACAACACCTGGTATAGGGACTTCAATGTGGACATCACATTTTCCTCAGTCAAAACACTACCCCCTTCAGTAAGAAGATGCGGGGAAAAAAAAACCACATAAAAGTGAGAGTGAAATAAATACCTTTAGTAGGGACCACAGGATGTCTTTTCCTCCCACCTGAGACACATCCTTTCCACCATTAAGGCTTGTGGCATGCAGGCCTTTAAATTGCTGATTTTATGAATGGTGTTCATCCAGGACCACTCTGAAAATTAAACAGGACGGTAGACCCCATTATTGAACTGTTAGTATTTGCCAATTGTATTTTGGGGGATTTTCATGCTTCCCTTAAAAATATCACCAGCAAGTTTTTATTACTAGACATTAAAATCAATCATTAGTCAAGACAGCACAGGCTGCTCACAGAAGAAATACTTTTTGTACCTGTAGCAACAAAACCGTCCTCCTGGAGCCACAAGTCTGCCTTCATAAGGGACATTTCATCTATACAGCAGTGCTTTGTGCTTCAGTGGGTTTTGGTTGCAAAGGATTAAGATACATTTCATCTCTTCAAGAGATGCATAACTCTTCTGAAAGAAGTTATTCTCAACATAAAGAAGGCTTCCAAGTGCTTGAAATGTCTTTTCGTTTTTAACTATGTCAAGTGCTTCTCTCAACAACAAAATTTAAAAGACACATTGCAAAATCTGATTTTTGCTCCCTGTTACTTTCCTTTCACGTACTCACAAGTTTATGTTATTTACTTGGTCACAGGAGTACTGCCTGAAAGTGATGGAACTGCAGTGTAGATTTGAATTTATGCGCCCAATTGTGAAACTACTTATTCATTAAAATTGCCTTCTAAATTTTATCTAAAGTTAAGGAAATCTATTTAAATAGACATGTCTCTTTTTGTACATAGTATGGAGGGGGGTGGAAATTTTTAAGTCACCATGAATAGATTTTATATTCTAACACTGATCTGAGATATCACCCAGGAAGTTTTTTTTAGTCAAATGAATTCTGTTCAGAATTGACTCAGTTTCCTGACAGGGAGTCTTGTATAGTAGTTCATATGAAATCTGAGTAGCTTAGTTTGATACAAAAATTCAGAACTGGAAATTATGGAAGTTTTACCTGAATAAAAATGGGAAGTTTAGGAATTTTAAATATTTTTCAGCTTACCAGATAGGAATGTCAAAGTGCATGTAATGAAGACACCCTCCAGAATGAGGGTTCTATTTTCACAAAATGTTGCCATGCTGGTTGATTGCCCTTACCTTATAGTATTACATGCAGGGACAGGTTCAGAAATTGCAACAGAATTTGAATTAAATTATTTTAATATTTTTTAAAGCTGCAAAATGAATACTGGTAATGAGCATACGCTGCTTAATTACTGTACCAAAAATCTCACATTTAAACTATTTTGGGAACTTAAAAAATGGTAACAAATTCAGAAATAAAACCCACTGAACAGTTGCAATAAATCATAGTAGAGGGAAAAAAGGAAGAAGTTATTTTATATATTGACAATAAAATAAAAATATGAGAAGTGTTGTGGAGCCATCACTACAAGTTAAGAAAACTTAAATTCCAGTAGTTTACACTTATTGTTTTGATAATCCAGACACTTTTTGAATTGCCTGCAGCCCATGTAAATAAACAAGTTAAAATGAGACCAACACAGACCAAGCCTGGGAACCTTCAAGACACTGTAATTGACTTTACTTTTTTTTGTTGTTCTTTTCCTAATTTAGTCACACAAACTATACGAAACCAAGAGTTAATATTTGTCAGTTCTTAATAAAGCTGGTTGAAATCCGAGCTGCTAAGAAAAGCTCTGCTCTAGATACAGGGGAGTGAAAATTGAAACAACTCAATTCTAGACACTTCACAACATCAAATAGTAACACAGAAGCTAGATGACTCACAGCTCTCAAGGTTAAGACCTTGAATTCCCACATCCCACATACTTTGCCCCTGAGACATTCCAGGTGTACCTGTCCTAGGAAAGACACTTCCCCACCATGTCTGAATTGACTAATGACTACAACCACACCACCCAAGTTGCAGAAGGCAAAGGCAGGAACTGGGAGAATGTAGAACTGTCTGCTGCAGAAGATCATGTTCACAACCATCCAAGGAACCTGAAGGTGCACAAGTCCATGGGTCTGGTGAAGTTCCCACTGACTTGAAAAGGGGAAATATAACCCCAGTTGTTGAAAAGGGAAGAAAGGAAGAATGAACGACCTACAGGCTGGTCAGTCTCATCTCTCTGCCTGTCAAGTCCATGGAGCAGATCCTTCTGGAAACTATGCTAAAGTACAGGGGAAAGAAAGAGGTGATTGGTGAATAAGGGAAAACCATGCCTGATAAACTTGGTGACCTTCTATGATAGGGTTATAGTGGCGGCTTATGTGAGAAAGCAACTGATGTCAGCAACCTACACTTGTGCAATGTTTTTGACACTATCCCACACGACATCTTTGTCTCTAAACTGGAGAGACATGGACTTGATGGGTAGACCACTTTGTGGATAAGAAATTGGCTGGGTGGTGTCTCTCAAAGAGTTGTGGTCGATGGGCCTATGTCCAAACGGAGACTAGTGACAAGTGGCATACCTCGGGGCTTGGGATTGGGCCAGCTCCATTTAACGTCTTTGTTGGTGACATGGATGGTGGGGTTGAGTGCACCCTCTACAAGTTTTCATACGACACCAAGCTGTGTGGTGTGTTCAACACACTGGAGGACAGGGACAGGCCATCCAGAAGGATCTTGACAGGCTTGAGAAGTGGGCCTGTGTAAAACCCATGGAGTTCAACAGAGTTAAGTGCAAGGTCCAACACCTGGGTTGTGCACTAGCACAATATACAAGCTGGGCAAATAATGGATTGAGAGCAGTGCTGAGGAGAAGGACCTTGGGGTGTCGGTGGGTGAGAAGCTCAGTATGAGCCAGCCATGAGCACGGGCAGCCCAGAAAACCACCCATGTCCTGGGCTGCATCAAAAAAAGCATGGGTAGTAGGTTGAGGGAGGTGATGCTCCCCCTCTACTCTGCCCTCATGAGACCCCACCTGGAACACTGCATCCATCTCTGTGGCACCAAACAAAAGAAGGACATGCGACAGTTGGAGTGAGCACAGAGGAGGCCATGAAGATGATCAGAGGACTGGAGCACCTCTCCTATGAAGACAGACTGAGGCTGTTCAGTGTGGAAAAGAGAAGGCTCTGAGTTGACCTTAGAGCCCCTTCCAGTACCTGAATGGAGCCTTACAAGAAACATGGAGAGGGACTATTTACAAGAGCATGTAGTGACAGGACAAGGACGAATGACTTAAAACTGAGAGTAGGTCTAAATTAAATATTAGGAAGAAATTATTCACTGTGAGGCTGGTGAGGCACTGGAACAGGTTGCCCAGAGAAGCTGTGGATGGTCCATCCCTGAGTGTGTTCAAGGCCAGGCTGGATGAGACTGAACAACCTGGTCTAGTGGAAGGTGTCCCTGCAAATGGCAGGGGGTTGGAACTAGATGATCTTTAAGCTCCCTTTCAACCCAAAGCATTCTACGATTCTGTTTTATCATCTCTCACATGTAACAGCAAGACAGAACAACACTTAAAGGAATGTTAAACTGGCACAGTGCACTACTGAAGAGCTGTATTGCATTGATGACTTTATTCTCTACACGCCACCCAACCCACACATGTACAGAAGACTCAGAGACATTCTAATTAGAGGAGCACCATGCTGGTATAGATTTTGGATAAAATGTCAAGTACCGTCCTGACCATTCTTTAGCTAATAAGAAACCACAAACAGTTATACATACCAGACAAATGTGTCCAATTATTTCTTTGCTTAGATTTCTCTTTTTTTTAATATACAGTGTCTGAGCAGGCTGGTGCATACCGAAAGGCATCTCATGACATCCAAGCACTGAGTGCAGAGAGACTCACACAGAGTCTCTGAAGACTCAAATTCATGAATGCCTTCTCATTCCATAATAACATTTCCTTAGAAGGTTTATTATACTGAATTAGTAGCTTAAACTGTGATTCCACGAACCTCCAAAAAGCAAACAGCTTAACCTGCTAGGATAGAAATCTCTCCTACATTAAAAAGACTCTGCAATTATTCTTAATCCCAGGTGAATCAAGTGTTATATTTGGTGTCTTGTTTTAGGCTGCATGAATTGGGAAAAAATCAATTTAGATTTTAATAACTTGAAACAGCAGCTAGGAAACATCCGTACAGAAACTGGTCTCTTGGAGCACATCCCTGGTCTGTTCCCCCTTCCTGTGCAAATAGGAGCTGCTTCCTCTGCTGGAAACAACAACAAGCAACACAAGCTGGAGGCTTTCCAACAAACATGCTCCGAAGTACTTAACCCCCCTAATGCAGAAGATATCAAAAAGATTGTGTCATGTTCCTGTGTTTTAGCAGAGAGTTGGCTTCTCTCCTTGCAGCCAAGTGCACAATGTGACTAGAAGAAAACTCTCCGAGTTGGACTGAGATGTGGTCCCTTGCTGGTGCAAACACACAGCATGGCAAACTCTCTCAATTTGCATATCAATTAGTAGCCAAGGACAAGCTGTAAAACCAAAGATGGACAAATTTGATATGAAATTTCATGCTGAAGGTTCTCAGGTGTTTTTAGCAGCACTGTCAAATGAGAAATGTGATTTGAGAGAAATATGAGCCTGATTAAGCACTCTTTTCCTTCAACTTTACTCTGGCAGAAAAGGAGGATTTTGACTGTAGTAACTACTGCAGTGTAAGCCTAGGCAGCACCACTATTTTTAAGATGCACTTGTCCCCCATAATTCGAAGAGAAATCTGCTTTGCCCTTCAATGCTATTTTCTGTTAGCTTTAAACTTTTCCTTCACAGAGCCTGAATGCTTTTCTTACTGAGATCATAATAAAACAAGTCTGGGTGTTTTCATCCTCTCTGAATTTCCACACAAGCAATGGTATCTAAACTGCTATTTAAAATGCATGAGTGGTGTGATGTCCTGAGACTTTGCAAAAACACAAGATTGTTCATCACATGTAACTGTCATGGCAAGCCAGGATTTCAACTAGAGAAGTGCTATTGCTAATCAGAACGGACAAAAGGAGCCCCTTAATGCAAATTACTGCTCTATCATTCAGTGGGAGATTTTCTATCTGAAAATCTGTGTGATAGAATACTGCATAAAAATAATG